TCTTTTCCTTCCTTCCTTCCTTCCTTCCTTCCTTCCTTCCTTCCTTCCCTTCCCTTCCCTTCCCTTCCCTTCCCTTCCCTTCCCTTCCCTTCCCTTCCTATGCTAAGATTCCAATGTATAGCTACCCTTTGCAGGGTTTTCTAGGCATAAAGTACTCAGAAGTAGTTCACCATTCCCTTCTACTGGATGTGCTCTGGGACAGAACAGCTTGCTCAAGGCCACACAGGCTGGTTCTTCTCCAAAGACACTGTGAGGAAACAAATTCCCAAACTCTGGTACTCCAGCTCAGTAAACTATCGAGAACAGAAGCAACCAATATGGGGAAAGAAAGTTGCCTAGTTCTGTAATTATAAATTACTACCCTGCAGATCTTAGAAATGTTACATTTGGGTGCTATAGCTCCCAGAATCTGATAATATAATCATAAAACACATGGACAGAAGCAAGATTCAAAACCTAATTTCACCAGTTTATAGTTTAACTATTTCAGATAAAAACTCTCTGAGATGCCACCGTTATGTATGTCCCCCCCCCACTGACACTATGTATTTCTTTTCCTCTCTTCTTGTTTTTACCAGAGTGTCATCAGGTATACTAGGGTAACTAGGTTGCTATTTATTGTATCAAGAGTGGTATCTGTAACATTGTGTGTAAAAATATGTAACACAGCTAACTGCAGAGTAAGACTGAATACTTCTGGACCAATTTGGAACAGCGTCCGTCTCTCTGTCTCTCTGTCTGAGACCAATCAAGTTAATGGAAAAATGTTGGCAACGCTGCTGCATCTGGCCCCTATTAGACTAACCTCATCTATGCTTTTCATTATGATTCTTTACTGCTTAAATCATATGTTCTTATTGAATAATGTGTCCATACAATGCATTTCAGGTTTTAAAGATGGTCTTAATGTGTAACTGAAAAATTATAGGGTTGGAACATCAACCTCTGCTCAGAAGCTCGGTTACATGTTCATTACCTCTGATGGGATCCAAGCAATGGTCTGGTGCACCCAACATCTGTATAAAATTAAGAAGAATGTTAGCACCTTGATATGTTCTGTGGATCTCTGTTCCCACCTCTTGCCATATCAGATTAGAAACAAGTGAGCACAGGTTCAATCTAAACCAGTATCAATGGCACAGACAACTGAACCAAGCTTTGTGATTGCTGGGAAGGGTGGGAGTCATAGGAGATGTAATGGGTGGCACAGAAGTGTTCGCTTGCTGGTTCTAACATTGAACTCTTCATCTCACTGTTGGGAGGTTGCTGATTCATCACAAGAACACAAGTCTTCAGAGAACACTGGCAACCCCCTACTTGAGAGTTGCTGAGAATAGTCATTCAGACAGTGACTGGGGGGGGGGAGAGATACATTCATGGTTGTGCTTTTTCACTGTGCACTCTGACCCTTCCCTCCCCCACAGAAAGGTGCACAGGACAGACACATTGAGATTTTAAAAACAGCTACAACAACACACAGAAACTCTCTTACAGAAACGTTATCCAAACGTTACCCTGTTCCTCACCATAATAAATCACTCTAGAGTATGGAACTTACAGAGGAGTTGACTCACCAAATCCCTATTGATTCAATGGGCATACTCTACAGTGGTTTACTAGGCAACAGGATTTCAGGCATTTTGAGATAAAACTGAGCTTATGCCATATAAATCAAGAAAATCATTGACATAATCATTATCTTTCCTATTTCCAGTTCATTGTGCCTATGGAAATATTTCACTCCAAATTTAGGTAACTGCTTCATGAACAGCACTAAACTGTTGCACATGCATACCGTTCATTTATATAAAATCCTATTATACAGTATGTCCTTCTATATCAGTTTAAATTATATCTACAGCTGTTTTTGTTGTGTTTCTCTCTCTCTCCTGTTTTCATCCCTTTCAGTGTATGGAATATTGTGATTTCCTACTCTGCAAAAGATCCCTTTCACTAACTGTGGTTAGAAAAATGTCACATTGTGTGATACATTTTACTACATGTATAGCATGTATAAATGTCTGAGGGAGAGAGAGAGAGAGAGCGAGAGAGAGCAAATGAGAGCTACTACAGAGATTGTTTCTCTGCCCAGATACTGCATAATTAACTACATACATGGCATTAGGTAGACATTAGGTGATACAGAAGATGAGTACACTGAGGAATTGGTGCCAGGAGAAATCCTTCAAATCTTGTTTTTAAAAAAGCAACTGGTCAATGGGGAAATTTATTTGAAAGGTTTATCTATTCATTTGCCAGTTGCTTTACAGAGCAATTCACCCATGTCACAGAATGGCTTTCCACTTGCCAAAGCATGACAGGCACCTGCTGAGGGGATAGATGTTGACATTGCCAAGAAAACGTTAATACTGGAGGCAAGGGCAAATGGATCCTAAGTGATCCTCAACAAGAAAATGCAGCACCTCAGTAAGTCCAGGATCTGACAGAGGAGTTGACAATTAGAAGTTTGATTCTTCACCATGCCTCCTGGGAGAAGGTCTGTATGGCCTTAGGCAAACTGCACGGTCCCGGAGGTGCCTCCAGAAAAAGGGAATGGTAAACCACTTTTGAGTACTTCATACTTAAAAAGCCCTAGAAAGGTATACTATTTGTTACAATCGACTGAAGAGCGTATAGTTATTATTTGTTGTTAGGAATCTTGCTGAAGTACAGTGGGATATAAGACAAAGTTACTTTGAAACTCAGAAGTCCATTCTGGTTGTGGCAGATCTGATGCTTGAACCCCAGGCCCCAGAAATATTCTCTCCCACCATCATCCTGCCCCAGTGTTGCTGTTTAACAATAGTATATGCATATTAGATTAGAGGCCTGGTGCACCTGAGGACAATTTGACTGTAGGCAGAAACAGACCTCATAGGTAGCTAGGTGTTACATGGGTCCAAATACAGGATTGTCTGGAAATTACCCAAGGTTAAGAGCAGACACAAGGCTGACAAGAGATCAGTGCAGAGACCTGGGTTTAAATCCTCCCTGACTGCGAGGAGTGCCAATAGTGGACCAGTCTTTGAACATCTCACATGCCTGGAAAACCGTGTTGGAGGCACCAGAAGCTAGAAGCAATTTGACGAGACATAATAGACACAACATATACAAATGCAGGTACAGTATGTATTTAAGGAAGAATGAAAGCAAATTGATGGTAAATGAAGTCTGAGAGGAATGGAATTGGAATGGTGATATTCTAAAACCATTTCTACCTACCCAGTGTTGCTTTTCTTCCCTGTTCACCCACATGCTGGCAAAGTTAACTGCCACCATTTCGACTGTCCTTTCATGCTCAGTTCCATTCCCACCCCCATTTCCAGTCCCAATAGTCCTTCAGCTGCCGCTCCCTGGCCAATTTTACCCTCCCCTGCCATACCAGAAGTAGGAGACATTCTCTGTTTTTTGAACCACAGTTCCCAGAATCTCATAGCCAGAAGGGAACTGGTCATGACGACTGCAGGATTCTGGTAGCTTCAGTACGAAAGAGCAGTTGTTGCCATCTTTCTGACATACTCCCAAATGATCCACCTCCTCAAGCATAAGGGCCAAACATTGGTTGTGCCAGCATTATATGCCAAGGAGAAAATGTGATGGGATAGTCCAGGTAGTGTAGTGCTCAGTGCTGAAGCTGGAGACCTGAGCTCAAAGAGCTACTCAGCTATAAAGCTTACTGGTCATCTTTGGCCAGTCACTCTGTCTGAGTTTAACCAATGTCAGAGCTGGCTGAGTAACTCAAAGAGCTGAGTATGTGGCTGTGGAGCTAGGTATGGAGAGTTCACTTCCTCACTGTGTGTCCCAGGACAAGAGCCAGCCTGTGTGGTCTTGGGCAAGCTGCGTAGTCCCAGGGCACCCCTAGAAGAAAGAAATAGTTTTGAACAGTTTATATAAGGAAAGAACCTTGGAAAGGATTGCCATAAGTAGGAATTAAAATGACAACATGTAAT